AATAGAAAAATAAGACATCAAGGTGTTGCTTTTGCAAGACACCAGCACAGGAACATACACATATCGGGCACTGTCATCGTATACTGAAGCTGGTGCACATTTGGATTGTAATTGCAGGATACTTCCTAGAATAGTATTGCACAACTGATTTGTTACTTAAAAGCCTGTTCCACCGAGGAGCAACCAGTGAATGATCAGCAGCATTTATCTACATCCTCCTTTTACCCCTAAACATTTCATTCACATGGTCCAGGTGATCCATAACACTATTTAAGACTGTGCATCCTGTACTCTTGATAGTTTACACTTTTCCGCTTCTTAAAAAAGGCACTGAATTATGGATGTAGTGAAGAGAAAGGAACAGAAAGATTCATGGTTCCTAGGGCGTTTTAAGAGCTAAGAGTTACTTTAGTAATGCACCTTTCACAGCTTATCAGTATAAATATGTTAACAAGTTCACATTTAAAAATGAGTCATCCCATCCCACTGGAGTTAGAAAACAGAACTCAACAGATTCTGATTCTGGAGATTGCACAGGTTTCATTTACCTCTACTCCACTAAATTAAACTAGTTTAAGACCAAGACGGAATGAAAATCCGTGCAGAATGAAAGTAGCTTTTGCCAAGTAAATTGCCAGACCTAATCCAAAAGAGGTGTGATGCCTTTTCTAGTTTTTGATTTATAATTTAGGCAAAATGTGACTTATTTTTATAAGTAAAATTGCAAAGTGGTATTTTAAAAATACTTCCACTTTGTGTTATAACAGAAATTATCGTTCCAAGTGTGGAAGATCTCTATTTCCCCTTAGTGAAACTACTAAAACAGGCAGCAAACTTTACAGTATAGGAAAGCTGTAATAGAGGTTGGAGGAACAGCTGTAAACTTTAAGGATTTCAGAGAAATTTACGAGACAAAAATATCTGAATAGAGAAAACTAAATAGAATCATTCAAGAGTGGGACTTTACAGTCCATTCATATAACCCATATTCACGTTAATTACCCAACTGCATGTCTTTATTGCCTCTTCTCTCCCCCGAAAGCAAAGACTAAGCAGACCCTTTGGCTTTTGCAATACAGTAGATCCACATGAATTTACCTGGCGTGTTCTTGGTTCAGCAGTTCTTTAAGATTTTGTCCCCCCCTACTACGTGACTACCCTCAACACTAGATCAGGTCAGCCGTGGCTACCTGGTGCCCAGCTGTGCAGTACTTTGCTGACAGTCAATCCAAGCCAGGGGAACGCTGCACAGCTGTATTAAGCGTTTCTGCTGTACTTCTCCACAGGCTGAGACTCGGCACCACGCCATGGGTTCGTGCTTCTTCCAATTTGGATCTGGCTAGCAGCTGCCTGGCTTGGGACCTGTGCAGAGCCTTGCACGCGTTTATCTGCAAACCAGTGTAAACTTTGAAGCTCTCCAACGTTTTTGGCCAAATACCACCATCGGTAACAGTAACGTGGCACTACAGGCACTTGTGCAAAGAGCAGCAGCTCCCAGTTGGCACGGGGCTATACACCACTCCAAAGTGGCTGGCATAAGTCCAGTCTCCCCACCCCTTGGAAAATGTCTCATACATGCTTACTTTCCTAAGTCTGAAGAGCATAAAAGCTGGGACCAAGGATTACACTGTAGATATTTACACAGAACAGCTATCACAGCACCCTTTAAATTAAACATTCTCAGAAGAGGAGTGCTACAGAACAGATGGGCTATTATGCGTAAGGTCAAAAGTGACACAATTTTGACCACCTTTTTGTGCCTAATCAAGGCAGGGCTATTCAGTGATAGCATAAATGGTCAAGATAACTGGAAGAGGGAGCTTGTCAACAAGCTCACGGAGCGAAAAGTAAAAACATGGATCTCAAATTCCTGTCACTGCGTAGAAAGTACAGCAACTGCTACAGATTCAGACAACTCGTTCACATTCCTATGTAAGCACCAGCAAGGCAAGAAAACATTAACAGCTGTACAGGAACAATACTTAAAAGTACAACTTTATGCACCTATATGAATCAGGTATGATGAGAAATGCTAGGCTGAATACCATAATGAAAAATCACCACTTCTACTCCATCAGAAGTTATTTGAGCCTTTAATGAAAACTGTAGGTGAAGAAATTTGGGTCACCACAATTTCTCTCATCTTAAAAAAAATCCACACAACCCCAACCCCAAACTTTAACAGAGAGCCTTTAAGGAGTCAAAAATTAAGGGTGAGGTTTTGTCAAACAATAGAAAGGTATGTATAAAATAGGAAAATAAAAGTAAAATCCAAGTCTATTCCCCTTTATTAAGCAGTTAGTACTGAAGATTGTTAATACTTAGGCCCAATCCATCAAAGGAGGTCAAAAAGGCAGCAAAACTTGCAGAAACTTATCTCAATTAGTAAAGATGGGAACAACTGAAGAACTGTTAATGAGTCTGTTGAATAGAGAGTATGTTGATTAAATACAGCATGGGCAAAAACAAGATGAGGCTTGTTTCAAAAAAAACAACTCAAGCTAGTCATCCACACTGTTGGCTCATAAATTAACTAACTGCTTCCAAAACAAAATACTTTAACAATTCACACCTCAATACACAGAAGCTGTTTACAGAGGATGAGGTAACAAAAAAAAAATAATTTGATAAATCCATTGAAAGCATATGGTAAAAACTTCACTTGTATGTCTTTTTGATTTAGTTCTAAGATGCTAAGACTAGAAAGGGATTAGGAACTAACAGAGTTTGTAAAAAGGGACTACCAAAAAAAAAGGTGAAAAAAAGGATTACAAGAGGCATCTGAAGGCTCCTGGAACAGGAAACATGGGGAACATTTCAGAAAAATGAGCAAGGGGCATGAAAGAGTAATTGCAGTAATCAGTTTACTGAAAAGGAAAACCATTCCCATATATCATTTTTCCAAATACTACAAAGAGTCAATGGGACCTAAAAGCAATTCACTCAAACCTGAAAATGCTTATACAACATATAGCTGACTTTCTTAACGTCATTGGCTTAGATTCACCTAAAGAAAAAAAACCTAAGTATTAGAAGGCAAAAACCTACATTCTCTGCAGAATTCACTTATGATGTTTAAGAAGCAGCCCACTGTGGAGTCCTTCTATAGGTAGATTATAAACCACTGGTACTTCTCACCAACTTCCTAAGGAAAGCTTCTATATTCTTTGAAGATAGTCACAGGTGGGTGTTCTTCAGGATAACGCATGACCATTGCTGCGAATCACTGCTTTCCTTCATTAAGCTGGACCAAGCAGAAGTCTCACTGCCCAATTTTTAGTTATGCGCGTACAGAAATAAAACACAGCTGTTAATTCCAAAACAGTTGTCAATTCAGATAACCTTACAGAAATAAGATTTCAAGAGTGGTGGGAAAATAGGACTTGTGTAGAACTCCAAAAAATTTTACTTGTATTTCAGGTCTGAGCAGGACTGCAATTCATTGACGGATGTACCAGTGCAGTCTCTCTGGCAGTAGGATGATTTACAGCAAAGCAAGTCAGACACCACTGCTTAACCTACACCAGAGTTATGCACAGAGGTAGTTGCACTTCCACCAGTTGAAATACAGAACAGGTAAGGAACATGTTTCATTGCCAAAACGTACCAGGAAACAGCTCCATCTTGAAGTTTTCATTAAAGCTATGAACAGGTTTACTTATCACAGAAAGAAGTAACACAGAGCTCATTAGATACTGCCTCATATCAAACTGTCCTCTGCAGTCGCAGAAGTTTTCTTTTTAGGCCACACAAATTCCAAGACAAACAAATTCATTATTCACTCTATTTCACCTTGCTAAAGGAACACCAGGACTACCACCCAAGGATAAATCCAGTACTCCATCATGACATAATACCTTTTTTATTACAATATCCAAAAAACTGAGTATGCAAGATTTTGAGATCTTACGATCCCTTCTTCAATCTCAGGAATGTGCCATCTAAAGACTGTATATTTAAACCATAAAGGAGTTTAAATGTAAAGAAAAGAGAAAAATGCATTTTCTTCATAAACATTCTGTGTGTCTCTTCCTACCAACCACACCATCCTCTGTAAAACCCGAAGATTTCTTTCCGTAAAGCAAATATATATATAGTGTTGGTAGCCCGCCCCACCCCATCCCAAGATCAGTTTTTATTAATCTTCTGTATTAGTGTCAACAATCAGCTACAGATACATATTACTTTGAGAATTAAATACATAATCGTTTAATTCAAACAAGCAGAAGGGCAAGAGGAAAAAAGCATTATGTGGATGGCACATTTGGTTGTAGATTACCAAAACATTCAGCGTTTACAATTCAATGATTCTTTCTCTAGTAATCAACTTTCAAATAAAATTTCTCTTTGTTGCAATTACAGACCAAAATACACTAGATAGTTTTCTTTTACTACAATCTTACCATAGTAGTTGAAGAAGTACTATTACAAAATGCTTTTAATTAGTGTACTCTTTACAAAGAGTCAGAGAGGCAATGTAATAGCAGAGTACAGTGTAAAGAGTGCTTCTAGGAACTAGGAGGTTTTTGTAATATACTACTCGGTAAGCGATATAGCTACAGAACTCACAGCCACAACTGTTATGTCTACTCTCTCTCACTTCAAAGTAGCTGCAGCTTCAGTGCATTCAAACTGTGCCCGGTGATGTCTCTGAACGGAGAGTTCTGCCTGCGTGAGCAATCTGAACAGATTAACACTGCTTTGAATTGAAAACGCCCCTCCTTGATCTGAGCTAACTATGTAAACGTACGCAAGAGAGGGGAGTTTTGAACTCAGCCGGGAAGGTGAGTGCTCGCCACGGCCACCCAAGGGAAACTCTCAACCTGAAGAGAGGTGGTCGGAGATTAACAGAACTGGAACACAAAAAGAGGCAAACAGGAGAAAAAAAAAAAAAAAAAAAAAAAAAAAAAAAAAAAAAAAAAAAAACAAACAAGAATCAAGTTTGACTGTTGTTCCCATGTACTGGTTAATGGCCATCTATCTTAAACAAAAAAAAAAAAAAAAAAAAGAAAAAAAAAAAAAGGACAAACAGCAACCGACAGAGCAAACACTTTAGATAAGAGCCTATTCCTTAAGCCTGCTTCAGATATTGCTCTGCTCTATAAAAGTGAATTTAGGACCTAAGGCTTGTAAGTTATAAGAGGCCCAGGTGGCCAAGTCCATCTTCAACGTCACTGAAGTGCTTTCACAAGATATAGCTTTTCCCCGTGTTCACTGGTGAAGATGGGAGCCTTTTTGTAGTGTTCCACCAACTCATCCATAGTATTAAAGCGACGCTGCCCAATACAATAGACATTGTCCACGAGCTGCACCTTGAAATGTTTGTTCTTCCCCGATGCCTTTAGAGATACCGAGAAGTCACTGGGCTGTTGAGAAGAATTCAAAAAGAAACAAAAAAAAAAAGAATTACATAAAAGTGAACAAAATGAAGGCGTAATTTTGTGGTTTCAGGAACAAACTGTGTCATACAGTTGATGGTAATTTATGCTAGTCTTTGTTCCACAGCTCGCTGCTTTAGCTACTTAAGAAACCCAATAGTCTATTATTCAATAAATAATTGCCATCATTATTAACGTGCACAGTTAAGTCAGTTAAGTGAAAGCTCCCCAGATGCACAGTCTGAAGTTGCCAATTACATGACTAAATTGCAAATATTATCTTAGTTACTCAATCTAGAAGCACGAGAATGTCAAGAAGGGAAAAACTTTCATCATGTATGGTTTCCTTGCTAGAGAGTCCTGGAGAAAGAAATCATTGCACCATTGCTTGTGTGAGATGAAGAAAAATTCCCATATTGCTTTTTTTTTTGGAGCCATGACCACTAGAGGGCCGTTCTTGCTTTGCATTGCAAAAGACAAAAACACATTCACCTTTTATCTTCATTATCACATGGATGGGGAATAATTTCACCTATTGAGTACACCTTTTTTTTGTAAAAAAAGATAAAGCTATAGAATGAAAACACAGTACAAATCTCACCACCAAACCACCATCCACAAAAGGCAAAATTTAAGCACTAATTAAGTTATTCAGGACAGAACAATTTCACATGATAAATCTCTTCGTCTCGGCATTTGGTTGCTTTAAGGAAGACAGTGCTGTGATCCAAACAGCCGGGATGAGACCATTCAGCTTTCTGCACCACAGTAGGAGGGTAGAAAGGACACACTGTCCCTCGCTTCTGGCTGAACTCCATCTCAAGCCATTGACCGCTGCTGCCTGGCCCTAGAGATAGGAGCACGGGCTTTGCCCTGTGAGAGGTAGTTGGAGGTGGGTGTTGCCTGCCAGCAGGCAACAATGGAGAAAATAAAAATAAAAAGCACACACCAGAGTTGATAGCAAGTACTTAATGGAGATGAGTAACATCTGGAAGTCCTGCTGCAGGGCTTCTGCCCACTTTAAGAAGAAAGCATTGAAGGCACATGCCAATTTCAGACACGGCCTTCCTGCAGTCCCACGGTCCTCCCTCCCACCGCGTTGCTGCTTTGGTCAGACCAGCGCTGAGAACCTGAATTTGTCCGGGCTAAACAAAACCCACAGGGGACTATCTGGTTCACAGCATTGCCTTATGAACAACCCCAAGTCAGAGGACCAAACAGGGGGGAGCAGGAGCCCTCAGACATTACTGCCGCCACCGGACTTCGGTTCATGAAACCACAGCTTCCGGAGTCCTCTACACTGCCTTTGAGGGTCAGGTATACACTTGAGTACGTACCCAAGTAAGCTGAAGGACAGCATTTTCTCAGGCACGCTGTCTTTTTTTCCTGCAATGATGTGAGTCTCTGCCCCACACATCTCCCATGTTCTACCTATCCCAAAATCTCGTCCCTTGCATCTGCCCCTCACGTGTTTTAGCACCGATTCCTTCTCCGCATTCCCTCCCTACTCCATCTTCCCTGCCGTGCCTGTTGATCTGGCTCTGGCCCAGCTCCCCAGGCTTGCACCTCAGCTTTGGGCAGCAGCTCTTCCCCTCCCACACTGCTCAAGCCAGCAGCTTGCTCCCCTCACCTCTGGACTAACGCTCGCCCAGCTCAAGACACTACATTCCAGATCCACAAGCACCACTTTTTTAAAAATTATTTTACATAACATCCATAGGAGAAATACTTCTTCCACTCGGTGCCACCGGGCCTTGGCCAGGTCAGTGGAGGATTGAGTTGTTCCAAATCCACTGGCTCAAAATACACACAACACCCCTCCGTGACTACCAAGAGGAGAGGATTGGGGAGGGTACAGGAGAGGGACGGAAAGAAATGTCTAATAGCATATACTTGGGGTTCCCAATGCTCCACCCAAGACTGGATTCATGCCCTGTTGTCTATCCCTATGTCCAAGTTTAAAGTGAAGCCAGCTAGCTGTGGTATTGAACCCCAGCCTCGGGAGCATCTCAAACAGACCAGCACAGAGCTCACACCAAGATTGTCCTGTTTTCAACACCCACTCTGCTGGGTTAAATCTAATCCGGTTGTACCAACACTGTGCTGTGGCCAAGACCCTGACTGTTGCGTGGACAAACCCTCTGGCATGGGCATCTCCATAGCCCTGCTCAGAAGCCATGAAATGGTAACAAAGCACAGGCTGGCACAAGCCAAGCTTTGAGACCCTGAGCTCACTGAAGAGAAATTTAGGGCACGGGCTCTAGAAAGCTGATTGCTGGGCTCTAAACACTGGCTACCATGCAGGTCCGTAAGGTATCTTCAAGGAGGACTGCACTGAGGGCAGCATGTACAGACTGGCTGCTTAGGATTTGAAAAACAAGACCAAGTCTTGCTGATTAAGTTCTGGTGCTTCCATGGGCGATGCCTATGCCAAGCAAAAACCAGTAATCAAAGGGCCCTCTTTTAAAACAGAAGAGCTTACAAACGGAAAGTTCATAACCTGAACTAATAGCAACAGGAAAAGGTGCTGTAACAAAGGTTTAAAAATAAGTGAAATAATCACTTTGCACACCACAAACTTTTAATGTTTTCTGACAAAGCACAATTGTTTTCAGCATGTAAAAACTGTAAGTTTTCAAAGCTCCTTATACCTGCTAAGAATCATTATCTTTAGACCAGAAAGGATGCGCTAATGACGCAGAGAAGTGCTAGAATAGGTCTTAGACCTCTGATCTACTGTCCTATGTCCCAGGCACTGCCAGACTGAGATCTTTGTGAGGTGTTCTACACAATACATTAAATACTCTTCCTGCCATTTTAATTATACCTGTAATGAATGAACAGTTTCCTGAACTACTGCCCATTCTTCCCAGCCTTGGAGCTGCTAATTAGATTGATGCATAAATAGAAGACATTGGAATCGCTTATTTTCTCCAGAATATATGTTACAAAGTTTATTCTTTTCGTGATCTGATTTAATTAAAAAAAATAGCGGAAAGGCTGATCTAACTCTTTTGAGAGCCATCATCCGGTGCAAAAAGATGGAAGAGCTTGAACAGCTGTTGCAAGAATCCTGAAACCCTTTACTGGCCTCAGTGTAGTAACTTCTACAGGACACAAGAACAAACAGCAAAAGCAATGGGACTTGGATTTGTTTCGTTGTTGTTTTTTTTTCCTACTCTAACAAACATGCAATATGGTTAAAAAGACTATTAAAAAAACACCTCTAGATAAACTACTGCTCTTAACATTACCATTGCAAAATATGTTTGTTCAATGCAGCATGAATTGGTTCCCTGCTGTCCTCCTTGGATTTGCTCCAAGTTTGTTTATTTTATTTACTGTTTAAGCTATTTTGTTTCAAATGCTGACCAATTTTTCTCCCTTCTCCCTCTTAAATTAATTGCTACATTTAGATGTTTGCACACTAACTTCTCCAGGAATAAAAACCTCATATACACCAAATAAAGGCACATAAGAAGTAAACTTTAATCCTTGAAATCTATGGAGGAGTTGATGATTCTGCAACAGAATTACAGAGCATAGCTTCACGGCAGGGAAGCTGGGAATATTTCTGTACTGTCATAATTGGGAAGACCTAAACCTGAAGTTAAATCAATTTCTAAATCAGAAAATTGAAGATTAGTTATTATGCATCTGCAGCTCTTCATTCCAGGTGTGAAAGAATTGTTTCAGATTCCTTTAACTCCTGCTTATGACTAAGATGACTACAGGCAAGGTTATGCCTACAGAACGTGGAAGGCAACAGGCAGGAAGATGTTCCTTTAACTTTACTTTTTTGGTCAGGAACTTCACTGTCTTATAAAAAAAAAATTGGAAAACTTTATCATGAAGACAAGTTATAAAGCTATACAAGAGAAAACAAGTGAAAGAACATTCCCTTTTTACAACCTTCCTTTGAGAATAAAACAACACAATTTAACCATAAATGGCATTGTTGGGGAAAATAACTTCCCCTGGAAGACTTTTACTGATCCTATAACTACTTCCCCCCCACCCTTTTCAATCCAGTTCCACCTGGCAATACCCCTCCTTCATGGAAGATACTCTCACTCTTCAGATTATTCCAGACCCTAGACCCTTCGAGCTCCAATCTGGAAGCCTGCCCTAGAGCTCTTCAGTTCCTTCCATTTCCATACCCAGGTCTTCCCCGACTTCTCCTACTCAATCACTCACCCAAAAAAACTGCAGCCATAGCTCAAATGCCTAAGGTCAGGCTGGAAAGAACCACATGGGAGGGTTAAAAATTCCTTTTTCTACCATTTCCCACCTCATTTTGATATCAACAAATACCCTTTCTCTCTATGTAATGGTTCACCACATTCCAAAATCAACATTACAGAGACCAGAAACGTGAATTAACTCCATCGATCTTCAAATACAGCTCTAATAAGATTTCTGTTCTTCCATTTAAAATAAACCACTAGAATATTTCTTTAAGCCTGTTTTTAAAGACAAACTTTCTCCTTGTCTTCGCTAGACTTATCAATCATAGCACGTCACAGAACATGACAAATGCTTCAGTGTTTGAACATTTGCCACATTTCATTGCTTCTATCCAACACTTGCAGGATCAAAACCCCAGGAAAATATGGGATGTTCTGAATGCTACAGAATTTGCTCCTCAAAAAGCATAAAAGCTCTCAACCTGTGCATCTTCCTTCTGCCTTCACTACCGCTGGACAAAGAGCACAGAAGCTAAATGTGATCTCAGAGGACTGACAAATTCAGTAGCACCCACAATCGGTAGCATCTTAATCCCATACTCTGCAATCCCATTTAGGATCAGTTACTATAATAGCTGTGATGCTATTGGCAGAAATAGCTGGTCAAAAGATTGCAAAGCTCATTCCTGCTAACACACAAAACTGGTTTGAGAAAAATAACATCTCTGCTTCATGGGAAGACATCATAGGGCTACAAAGCAGTGGTGTTTGTCTAATCACCCATTTTGAATCCAGTTGTGCAAGGGGACTGCAAGCCCTGACAGAAGCTTCTATTGAAGTCTAGGGGTGTCTGCAGTGTGCTCAGAACCTGAAGGTGTGGTGTGCTTGCTCGCCCTCATTGCTGGCCACAGCCTATTTAGTCCTTCCTGTTAGCTACAGCACCAGCAAGCACACTCTTCTCCCAGGGTGAATCTGAACAAAAACCCCTCTTCCTTTCAAATTTTTTCTCTCTCCAGCAGAATCTTAGATCTCTAAATCATGATGATCCCATACCCAACCCAGGCCAACAGTGTCAGCCAAGACTGGCTTGTCTTGTGTTAGGTGCTACACAGAGAGAACAAAAATCTGACTGCTAAAGAGCCTGCAACTCAAAAAGGGTAAGAAGTGGCTGTACAGAGACTGCATATATTAAATCTACACTATCTATTTAGCAGTACTACTTAAATGGCACAATAAACTTCAGTATTCAATCAACTGTGCAGTCTGCAACAGAAAGAAGTCAAGCAGTATTTCTAACTACGCATATTCCACTTCAGTCTCCTCCTTTACATCTCCAAAACTTAAGGTGACATTACCTAAGTGTAACAGAGTTGGCAAAAATGTTATCAGTAGGTAACTGTGCCTGTTACATAAACTATGGGCTTAAATGGTTCAAACAAGTTTATGGTTCTAATAATAGTATTTCGTAATTAATGAAGATAATCAGGCTCCTAGCTACCTCATAGAGTTCATTGCAGGATATTCTCCAACACAGCAACATCCCTTAGATCTAACTGTGGAGAATATTTTTGGCTAAAGAAATCTAGCTGTGAGACAAACATCTGGTAAATTAAATCTAGAGAAACATTGTAAAATCTTGCATCTACTAAAATTTGAAATGGAAAAACATTGACAGTCTCATCAAGCAAATACAGAATAATACAAACCTTCATCTATCCAAGGACAGATTTTCAGAGCTCAGCAGCAAGAGCAAACTCAATGTAATCTAAGGAAAACTTTTATGCAGATGACTTTTCGTAACTATGGTGATGGAAAGCTATACAAAACCCTAAAAGAGGTCAAAAATCAGGCACGAGATTAACAGGGTGACTCACAGTTTTATCTATGAGGCCTGTTTAGATAGGAATAAGCCCTGCATCCACAGCTTTAATAGGTGGGTTCATAACACAGTGTAATGTGAAGTGCTGGTCTGGGGGAAAGATGAGCAAACGGGAGGGCCGACAACTTCACTCTCTTCAGTCTGGTCTCTCTAATCAACATCTTTCACTCTGATCACACAAACACTCCTGGTGATATTTAGCCACAGCCTTTGTAGTCACACATATAAAACACGGCAACCATCAAGCATTTAAGAGCCATTTCTAAAAATCTTTCATCGTTCCATACGTAATAAGCTTGAAATAGATTTTTTTTTGGTGATCTTTTCCCTAATGTTATCAAATACGCCCATTTGTGTATTATATCACTCCTGGCACTTTAGGGAAAAAACCCCAACACCCCATCTAGCAATCACCAATGCTTTTATAGTTCAAATGCATAAACAAGTTATATGATGGTATGATATATAAAGATGAGAGCAGACAAAAGTCTGAGATGTAGTAAAATATTTCTTTAAACCAAATAAAAAAGAAAACTCTCTAGTAGCACTAAGACAAAGGAAGCGTTTACGTGCATAACTAACTATGGTCTCTCCCTGCTCAAAAAAACCCCAAATACAGGATCTGCAAGATCAGATCAAGATTAGAAAAAGAGGTAAGTTCCTCAATTCAGCACATTTTTCTTTGCGTGCGTGCAAAAAACTTTCTGCAATATGAATTGAGTAAATTTTCAGGGACTCCAGTAAGTGTTAGATGCTGTTAGAAGACAACATTCTGAATGAATCTTTTTGTGCTCCATAAGCAACAATTTCCCCAGCAACAATGGAGGCAGCAAATTTGAAATTGCTTTGAACACAAGTATGTTTAATGTTATGATGTCATATTTAATGAAAAGGTTACTGTGTCCTTTCAGGGAAATTGGTTTACTCAAGTAGTAGACTCTTAGGAGCAAAGAAACGAGCCGTAGCACAGGGGTCACTGTGACATGGCGTGCGCTGAGAAATGGCTGTGCATTTTTGTATTTTAAATAATGTATTAATTTTCAAACTGTCCTTCTGGCACTTTCCCAAAAGACAGAAGAAAATTGATAGCTATTGTCTCAGGGTAACCCAAAATGCAGCATTCAGATCTGAAAGTGAGCTTCTACCTGCTGGATGGACACACCAAGGGTAGACTGCATCCAGTTATACCTGCCTGCCCCTGTCAGACAGGATGCCACCCTGAAGAGACAGCTGAACTGCTGTAATTTAATGATTACCATAATCCTCTAGTGGCTTTCTACATTTTAGAAGACTGTATGCCCCACCTCAGAGTTTCCTTCTGTTGACTAAACAAATCTGATTCCTCTCAGCCTCTGTCAGTCAGTCATGTTTTCTAAATTTCTATTTTTCTTCCTGTTCTGCTTTGGTTTATGTTTATTTAATCTTTATTTTTCTTCCTGTTCTCCTCTGGTTTATTTGCATTTGCCTTCATTTAGTGATTACAGTTGACTAATAGCAGCAATAGGAACTCAGTGACACAGAGCTTCAAAGACAGGGTAGCTCGACAGCTACCGTGTCTTCTGCAGAGCAAATTCATCAAGGAAAGATGCCTGAAAATTCACCAGACAATACTGTATCCAGAAAAAAAAATAAATATATATATTCAGGCCTATTACAGAACTGTACTCTGTCAATAATGTTACATATGATATAAAAATTTCAGGGAATAGCAGGACTCCCAACTTCAATAATAATAATAATAAACTAGCACTATTTTCCAAAAATTAGAATGCAAAGTTTTATTTGGATTTAGGAAACCCTACAGAATTAACAATTGCCTTGTGTTTCAGCTGTTCTGCTGCCACTGTTCATCTCACTCGCCCAGAGCCAACATGCCAGCCAATCCAAAATTTTTAGTACCATTATATTAAAAATGCAGGCTCTGTTAATTCAATAGAGGGATTCTGCTCATCTAGAAAGAGTTGTGTTAGGAAAGAAGTTTTATTTAAAAGGCATAGAGTATGCACCACCTAATGAATCTACCTCACTACTACCATAGATTTTCACTTCATTCTGAGACCTCTTCTAAGTAGTTGAAAACGTAACTTCGCAAAACCAGAATCAGCAAATGAAAAGGTGAAACATGCTTCCAAAAAAGTAGGGAGAGCTAAAAGGATCTTCACTTCCAGATTTGAGCTCATGCTTAATTCTCCCCCTTACTTAAAGTAAATGTCTTTGTTTTCCAGCATGCAGTCATGCCAACACTGACTACTGATTACTTAATGAAGTAATTTACATGAGGAACAGTATATGGGAATAGTTTTCATGCAATTTATAGACAATTATGATGAAGAATATCACAAGTTCTATCCAGAAGTGATATATGCAATCAATATTGCCTTCTGAAGACATTAGAGTCAATAAATCTTTTTAGAATCGTATTATAGCTCAAACTATATATGCAGTTGACACTACTTTAGTTTTTATTTGCATTCTATGTTGTAAACTGGGATAGTCCACAATACAGGCACAGTGAAACCTGATACAAATCTAGCACGGAGATATGTGTCTATAGCTGTATAAGATACACTAATTTTAGTACTATCATACACTTAAATTAGAAGACTTGGCTAATATAACTATATTATTTAGAATTTTTATACGTGAAGCAGCAAAATACTTCGATGGAGACATCTACTAAACAACAGTCATAGAATGGCTTCACATTTAAATCAATAAATGCAAAAAAGCCCTAATCAGAAATTTAGATATTTTTTTTTTTTGGCAGCTTTTGAAAGATGTATTAGGGAATTATTAAAATCTGTCACCTTTTAAAAATCACAGTCAAGGGATAATTAAATTTTGAATGCCTTAACTATGAATTCTCGGGCCTCAGCATACATGAAAGACCTTTCAGTGTAATTTTAAAGTTGAACTTTCAGAATTACAATGATCCCTAAGCAGCCCTACTCATATCCCTCTGATGTCATCAAGGCTCAATTTACAAAGCATATGAGCTGCTGACTTGACCCTCTCTGTTGTGTATCATAATCTTAACAATTAGATACAATAGTAACCTTACCTTATTACAACCTAAGTAATCTAAGTAGAGCAGAAATATATTAAAATGGGATTTTAACCAACAGTTTAAAGAACCTATGCCAGTATTCAATTAAAGGCAGAATGAAACTGACCGATGTGAAAATCCCATTGCAAAATGGCCTTAAAAAATCAAATTAATGACCAAATTTGCAACTCACTAGAATTATTTTATCTCGCAGCGCTGCAAATTTTGAGGAGGACTGTCTATGAGGAACACATGAAAAGTCAAACTGAAGCCTGAAATATTTAGCTGCTTGCCCGCTAATTAAGAAACCCTGGATAACACAGAGCACAGCTGTTAAATTTCAGTGTAAATGTCACTGCATTCCAGTAACATACCAATTCTCACAAGCAGCAAGCGTATGGGTTGGTAACGCTGCTTCTTTAAGGGTGAGAAGCCCTTTACTACAGATAGGGAGGCTATTAGCTGTCACGCTGGCTAACCCAAGCGCCGGGTATTAGAAAGCCTGCTGGGCCAAGCACCACTTACCGAAGATTCACTATCTCTAACAAGGAAATCTCCTTCCACTCCCCTTTCGTTCAGGGCACATTCTGCTTGGTGTCTGGTGACATTCCCGTAATACCACTCTCTTCCAGCAAACCGTCCGGTAGAAGATGGTCCCGTGTAGCTTATCTGAGGTGGATGGGAAGTGTTAATGGTAGTACCATCGCTAACGATTACTACATAGTTTTTAGGAACGAGGCCAATTTGCCCTCTGGAATTTTTACATTTCCACCATTCTGGATCATTTTCCGGCTTTTCAATGACTTCCATCCTTTCCCCTTTTTCAAAATTGAGCTCTTCTTCTGTGACGGAGCTGAACGGATACAGTGTCTGAACAACGTGGAGTACTTTGGTGCCCTGGCCGTTACTCATGGAAGCGCCTTTCCTTAAGCTGAGGAAGCTGGGTGAATCTGCAGTCGCCTCCTCCACCTCCTCTACCACATAGTTCGAAGGAAACCAGCCAATCTGTCCATTGTAGCTACCTCTCCACCAGCCGTCGCTGCACTTCTCCATGACAATTACTCGGGATCCTTTCACGAGGGACAGTTCATCCTCCCTCTCTGCCACGTAGGCAAATTTCACGTAGGCTGGAATGTTAAGATCATAAATCCGGTCGGCGCTGCTGCCGTTGGATGGGTACTCTGCGTCCGTGCTAGGAGTGGGTGAGGCGTCGCGCGCGCTCGTCTTTCTCTTGGTTTTCCCCAGACCTGTCAAAGAGAGAAAAAGCAAAGTGGTCACTCGGAATGTTTGTCCCCAGACTGCAAACGCTAGATTTGATGACACGCTCCCCTGTCGCTACCAACGCTGCTAAACGGAGATCTCTTCTGTAACGCTACACAGTCAGGAAACAGTAACACCTTTAGGAGATTATCTTTTGCATCCAGCTGATGCACCATTAAGTAAGGAGCAATTTGCATTATAACAGCTCTCTCCCAGAAGTACCATGAGTTTTAACACACTTAAAAGCAGTGGTTTCTTCGCTAGGAGAACAGCTAATCACTGGAACGGTTGCAGAGCTTGCTGTTATGTCTCTTAAAACTCCAGCCAAATAATCGTGCCTTTTAATTTTAGCGATGACTTTAATTTAGTTCAAGCAAAACATGAAAGAAAAATCTACAAAAATAAACTAGCATGGCAATAAAAGCTTAAGTTTCTCTGCAGATTACATTTTAATCTCTCCATTCTTCTGTCCCCAGGCAGCTACAACTGCAACTCCTTCCAACTGCAAGCCCCCTTTTGAAATCCACACCCCTTTCATCTACATTTCGTCATGTGCTATGAAACCATAAACCTGACAGTGAGGAAGACCATTTGCATATGTTCCCCTATAATCTGTAAATTCTTATGTACTGTGTGGCTTTAATTACAGCATGAAATACAACATAGAGAAGAAACAACAACAACGTTAAATACATAACTTCTTTTTTTCTTAATTAGAGGAACCATGCTAATGCCTGTGGAAGAAAATATGGAAGAAAAATTACACAGTACACTTGGTGTACTTTTCAAACTTTTGCAGCAAGGACTGCTTAAGCTTATACATAAACAGAAAGATAAAGTAGCCCTCTCTTGTGAAATTAACTTATAGAAGTTCTGAAGAGGAAACAAAAGATGAAGCCTCAATATAGCGCAAACCAAGCAACACCCAAAATGTCATGCTGGGGACCGAAAGCAAAAAACACCACATAAATAGGAGCTCTTCTACTTATCTCCATGCTTCTAGAGCCTTCTTGGCAGCTGGCATGCAAGAGATTCACTTGAGACACAATGAGTACATGCTGATTATGGCAGATTGAATGGGGGAAAAAAAAATAAATATGACTTTGCTTTTGTTTCTTCAAATAATCTGATAGAAGGATATGCATGCTATTTCATTTTTAATAATTCAGAACTATTTAATCTGGCCACTCCCCTGATGAAAAATGTAGGCTTTTTAAAAAATATATATACATATAAATGTACGTGCATATATGATGAATATCTTCAAAGATGGTTGTTCAGTGTAAAGCTATTTCACGGGGTTAGCTGTACAGCACAGACAAACAGCACACACATGACCACACAGGGATTGCAAACTAGAAGGGTTAAATACATTAATTAATACAGTCTTAAGGTCTCAGAAGACTGCAGAAAATTCCGATGACCCTAAAGTGTTTCCTGACCTTCCCCAGAGGCTCCTTGCTTCCTGCTGGAGCCTGCTTACATCCTAATGTCATTCTTACTACATCATTTCAGCCGAGAGCCGGTGGCTGCACTTTCAGGCAAATTGAGGGAGCGCGGCTTATTGTACTGGGGGACACAATGGCAGGAAAAGAGTGTCCAAGCAAGCGCTAATCGGAAGCTGCCCAGGCTCTGGTGTCTGCCAAGACTGGAAATTTTCATCAGTTTACAGATAATTTTCAATCAAAAGGCAAGGATGTATCAGAACTAAGGAGCATTAAATTAGGACGATATAAACAAACACAGCTTAAGGGTCATTCTGTTAGGAAAGGAGGGAAGTTACTTGTTATAACTTCATGGAAAATGAGCAAGTGTATTTCAATAGATTATCTCTACATAAAGCCCTACACTGAGACTGAACCTTCCAGATAAAAATCTTAAGTTTTGATGTGCTTTGTAATGGAGATATGCAGTACTGCTTCTTGGAATTACAGGAGGAGAACTAATACAATTAAAAAAAAAACAAAACAAACAACAAAAAATGAGCAAATGATTAAGTAGCTGGCCAGGAGAAAAGCAGCTGAAAATCAGAGCACAGAGATACCTGTGAGATATGGGGATGTGATAAGAGAATGCCATAAACTGAAGTATCTAGAGAAAAAATTATTGACAAACAGGTGAAAGAAAGAAATTTCTCAAAAACGTTTCTGACATCTGATAAAGGTGTCTAAACCTTTGTCCAAAAGGTTATCATCCAAACACTTTCTTTCACTTCGACTTTCATAAGTTGCATCTTTTTCTACAAACCTTCCAGTGCTGCATCTGACGTTTTAAATGTTCCTATCTTCCCCATTCAACACAAATCGTAACAACGTAGGTGAATAAGAACAAAAGATCAGAACCTTTGCTTTTTTTTCTTTATCAATAAAGGCAGTCAGACCTCTTTAAACTTAACATTTAACGTGACTAAACTTTTTAAGGCTGATAGCATGTTAATTATTAGATTTTTGCTGTGATGTGCACCTGTGTTTCCCTTCGACTTTCATAAGTTGCATCTTTTTCTACAAACCTTCCAGTGCTGCATCTGACGTTTTAAATGTTCCTATCTTCCCCATTCAACACAAATCGTAACAACGTAGGTGAATAAGAACAAAAGATCAGAACCTTTGCTTTTTTTTCTTTATCAATAAAGGCAGTCAGATCTCTTTAAACTTAACATTTAATGTAACTAAACTTTTTAAGGCTGATAGCATGCTAATTATTAGATTTTTGCAATAGCAGTGATGTGCACCTTTGTTTCTAGCTAGTTTGACCAAAGTAACTAACTATGCAGAGATCCATCTGCAGCCAAGCACAGACGAAAGGCATACACAACATTATCTAACACTCATTTTTTCTGGGAGCTTACAACATTCGTAACTGCGCCTATGACAGAAGAGGAAACAAGTTGTTCCACGAGCAGAATGGAGTAAATCTGTTCCTGTTTTTCTCCTTACACCTCCTGCTGCACTGCTCCTCCTCTGCCGCCCCCATCTCCTGCAGGATCCACAAAATGCCCCCTTACTATAGGACTGCCTTCGTGCCCCCAGGTCCTTCTCATACCTTCAGCTCCCCCACTGCAATCTCCAAAATGCCCTCAAAATGTACCCCATCTCTCCTGGTGTTGCTCTCCCTACCTTTGTTGGGCTGGGCAGCCAAGCCCTGTGCTCGGCACCCAGCTGCTTGGACTGACCAAAGAGCTGGGATCACTCTGGCTTCTCCTCCAGTGGGGGACACCAGCAATGACCCTCCCAGGCAATGAGTCGGACAAAACCAGTTAGTTTATCTCTGCCAGTCTGTCAACTTTCTTTAAAGTTGGCTGAGTTATCAAGGGTGGACAGATGGACGGACGATGACAGCTGACTGTGACAGCATGACTAGTGTAAGCTTCATTTCCTTAGGAAACAAGTCTAAAAATACAATTTAGTAGGATGGCTAGTCCTACCTAAGCAAGAATAAAGTTAGGATGATTATAAACTTTGTATGCATCTATAAGAAAAATCACAATTCCATTAAAAAAAAAAAAGTGCAATCTACATGAGTCATCTCTGCAAGAGTAAACACTGCCATAACTTGCTACTAACAGAAATGTTCACTTATTACTGATTTGTAAGGGTATACCTGTTCTTACGTCCAAACTGAATGAAACCCATGTAAGGAACTTCACGGAAAACAAAGCATTCAGGTAAGTACTTTGGGAGTCACATTTGGAAGAGTACAAATATACTCGTAATTGCAGTCATAATTTTGTCATGTTTTTTATAAGTACTTTGGGAGTCACATTTGGAAGAGTCAAATATACTCATAATTGCAGTCATAATTTTGTCATTTTTATTATCTTTATTTTAATGAAAACTTATCAACTAGTGAAATACGACTGTATTTTCCCATTCTGACTCATTGGTTACAGCTCACCTGAAGCCATAATCCTTTGTAATACAACTAGCTGTCAGAAGAAGAAACCTAAAGCTATGGATTAGCTTTCAAGTGAGGGGAAAAGAGTGGGAGCAAAAGCATTGCAAAGCAGCAGAAAGCCTGGTTTATAGAGTCTCGTAGGAGACAACGAGCAAAAGCATTGCAAAGCAGCAGAAAGCCTGGTTTATGTTAGAGAGTCTCGTAGGAGACAATACTGTTCACAATCTATAACTGACCCACACTAAACTAGTTAATTTTAATTCTTGCAAACAAGTTGCCAACTGATGTAAACAGGTTTAATTTTTAGGTGGACATATTGCTGAGATTAAAAACCCAAACTGGTCAGCGTCATTTCCAGAGAAGTGATCCACTGCAACTTCTCCTTCTCTCTGCAGTGAAAGAAACCCTCTGGCCCCAAGGTTAGTCCTAAGGAGACTCAGAAACGTGCCTGCTGCATTACTTTGTGCCCTCTTCCTTTCTTTGCTTCCTTGCTCTGTGGCTCTAAAGAATAGCTTGTTTTGCGAGCAGCAAGCTGAAGGAAGACCAGTTTCCTATGAATTTGCTTCCTGTCTCTTAAGCCCCCATTGTGCAAACCCCAGCTTTGCACCCTTTCGCTACCAGCCTGTCCCTGTGATGGCCTTCCCATGGTACCCACAGGTCCTGCTGTGATCTCTAACTGCAGCAATTCCAGCCTTCCCATCTTGTGCTCCTTAAGCTCCCCCAGGAAATAAATGTCTTTAGCTCCCCACCAATCCCAAACCTCGATTGGTGGAATTTCCTTCTGGTCCAACGCCGTGATAGTGCTAGTTCCCCTACCCTCACCTATGTCTTCTGCCATGCTGGCCACGCTCCTGACCAGCTTGGCCACCTGTCAGACAGCACAGATACCCAACTGCCCAGCCCTCTCCTGCTAAAACCAAAATGAGGATTTCTCTCTCCTCCTCCTGCCTTCAGAGAGGGCATTGAAACAAGGCTGCATAGCTACAATCTTTATGAAAACTGGTACTTCAGATAAACAACTTCATCTTTAAAACTTTATCAAATACATACATAACACTTATACAGAAAGGGGTATTTTTTGCCACTAGTAAAT